AGTTTGAGACTAACTCCTATGGATCCCCCAGTTCTGTGGGGGCAGGCATGTCTATCAGAACAGTGAATATTTAGTTGAGAGCATCCATTTACATCACTAACTTTTAAAAGTACCTGGGACTGTGCTTTACATCCTGTTAGGTATATATTCTGAGGATGTCATGTGGCTGGAGCTGTTGACTGAGGAATGTCTTGCACTGTATTGCTTAAGAAGTGTCTGTCCCAAGAGCAGCTGGGCAGGGGCCATTCCTCCTGATCTCGTTAGCGCTCCTGCTGTGAATGAGGTTTTGTTGACAGAGCTGTTTCTGAGCAGTGCCGCATGTGAATGCAGTGGCCACACCTGACATTAATCAAGAACAATTAATCAGGAACAACTCCATGTGTATACAAGCCCAAATTTAAGGTGAGGGTGGTCACAAGATGATGTTCTCCATGAAAGTGACCTTAGAGCAGACGTCATTTCTATGTGAATTACAATGCTCTTGGCAGGGAAAGAACAGACATTTGAGAATGACTTAATTTTTATGACCAGGTACACACGCGTACACTACTGTTAGCAATCCCCAGTCCCATGAACACTGGAATATCGATCATGAAGTTGAGCATGTCTCGCTGTTGCTGCCTGGTACATACAGCATAAGATTTCCCGTGTGTTAGGAGACACTCTTGAACTGGGCCATGTTGGTCAAAGGTTTGAGTGCATTTATTCCTTTATCTTAGGATGGGTTAAGTGCAGAGAACCTAAGCCTTTGTCACTAAATTGTTTGTGTCACTCAGGCCAAGCTTGGATTAAATTTTTGTGTCTACAACCAAATTACTGCTAGTGGAAGGCTGCTGACAAGTTCTTGTGTGGTCAGCTTTTAAAGATGGAGATGGTTCAGTGTACCACAAGATAAGCTCTTCCTGTTCCAATCACAGGAGTTTCCTGAGCTGGGGCTGGTAGAAAGTAATGTTATTCTGGAGGTGGGTTGGTGTACTCAGGGAATATTTACCCATACCTAAAGTGGCTCCCAAACTGGCTGTTACATTTTTTGTATGCAAGTTCTTTACCATTTTGTGAAGAACTAATTGCCCATGCTTAGCTTGCTCAAGGTTGGGTCAGTGCTTCTTTGTCCTTTTCTTCCCCCCTGCTTTTTGGTACTCAGACCAAGAGATTGCTTCTCTGGTTCAGTGCATAGTTTGGTTAGACCCCAGTTCCACAATGCTGGGATAATGGAGTTCACTCCATATATGATTTTCCATGAAGCAATATGAAATCCCTTGAAATCCAGTGTGTCACATGTTAGGATAGAGAATGTTTTTATTATTATTTTATTTTATGCAAAATAGCAGGCAAATATTCAGACCATGTTTGTCTTTGGTCTGATTTGGAGCTATATATGAGCATACATTTCCAATATCTGAAGCCACAATACATTTTTGAGCAAGTACCTACTACTGAAGTCATTCTTCCTCAGTGGGAATTGGAGCCTGTGAAACTAACCTGCTAGTTAAGGTGGTCATATGGGAGACTCAGATTCATGTGTGTGTTCCAAGAAGTGTATAAAGCAAAGCAGCTGTAGTGGGACAGATTGAGACTGATTTTTTTTCAAAACACTGAATGGCTTTGACATTTGACCAGTTCCTGGAGAAAGAGGAGAATAGGTTCAACTTCCTTCAATGAATCAGGCAGAGAGGAGACTTCAGAATGTATTTTGCAATACACCTAATCCTGACAGATGTTTGCCCTGACCCTGCTGCACCCTCCTAATCTCCCCCACCAAATGCTGAATGTGAGATTTCCAGCAGAGAGTGGGCATGAGGTAGGGCTGTGAGCAGCTTCACTGCCTAGTGTGTGCCTACCTGTTGATCTCCTGCACTGCACTCAAATATAAGCAGGGTCTGTGTGTTGCAGTACTGCTGAAATGATAACCTGAGGCACCTAAACTTGGGGTTAGGCACTCAATTAGTTTGTAGATTTAGTTCATAAAATCTGAAGCGCTGTATAGCTTAATAATTTGTTTCTATAATAAGCACTTTGTTTTAGCAATAAAAATGTATATTTCATGCTTATATATTTGATATTTTTAATTACTCATTTTTCTAATACTGTTGTGAGGAAGGTGTTTTCCAAACTAAATGATTCTCTGATTCTGTGTTATAATTTATATTGTAATGTCATGTAACTCAAATGCAATTTAGGAACAGCATTTTTGGTATGAATAGTTTTTTCCTTGTTACATTTTGACTATGCTTAAATAAATAAGCTATATCATAAAAGGATATGGTCTTTAAAAATGTCAGATATTAAAAGTTACTGCAATTTTGTTCACTTAAATTCATGGAAGTGGCATTCAGATGACAGATACTCAAGGTTTTGCTGACCTTGTGAACATTACTGAGCAATCAGTCATTAAGTAATCATGAAGTGCTCATGAACAGTGTAGTCAATGTTTTCAGCACTTAACATACTTTTCCTTGAGAGCAGGAATCTTCTTGCTCCATCTCCTATTCTGGACCCATATTAGGAGCCAAATTTGTCCTAATTTTAAGGGAACACTGTTCTTCATTTTCCTTGTTTGCTTTTTCCTGTCACATCTCTTCTTAATGAGAGTAGCAGCCTTCTGTTCAACTTTTGACTTTGCATGTGTCTCTTAAAGACTATAATAAAACTTGAGGTTTATGTCTTGACAGTAGAAGGGCTGAGTTCTGCCTTCAGGTGGAAAAGCATAATTCCCCTTGAAATAAATGAAACTCTAGCATGTTTTTTGCAAAATTCTGCGAGGAGGGTGAGCAAAGCATTATTATACCAATCTTTGTGGATAATCTGAGACAAAGAGGATTAATGAATTGTCGGGATCCATTTTAAAAATCATTACTTAAAGCGACTACTGGCACTCAGGAGTTTCTGGGCTCCCAGTTCTATGTGTAATCCATGTGGCCATAATTCTGAAACCAAGGCACCCCAGGGTGGTGGATAAATTATTCCTCCAAGAGGTTCCATGGCAGGTTTTTCAGATTCTCCAGTCTAGTGTGTAGACAATCAAATTGGCACTTGGACCCACACACTGCTTTGCAGTTTATGGAAGCAAATCGGCAGTGAAGGAAAGGCTCTGGATGCCATGGCTGAAGGATGAGCTGTAATGTCTGGTGTACAGGGTGCCACTGTTGATGCTTAACACACAGGAGGCAAGGCAGGGTGAATAGAGGAGGCATGGAAGAGGGAACGTCATGATGGGAGAGGATAGAGTGGGCATGGAAGGAAAAGAAAATGTGAGGAGTATGAGAGAAAAAGCAGAATGTGAAGGAAATGGGTTATAGAGCCAAATAAGAGAAAAGCATTATTAATTTATGTAATTTCTTATAATTTGAAGAATGACCATTACATATATCTATATATCTATATCATGACAGTGCTGCTGTGGAAGGTATTCCAGGAATTATTGTTTGTTTCTGCAACACAAAGAAATAACTGTTAATTTGATTTTCTGAATTGAACAAAGTTAATGTTGTACTTTGTGATAGACTGGGATCAGATTTGCCAAAACACAATGAATTAAACTGGTTCCTGAAAAAATAACAGTTTGCACTTGCCCCCCCTGATATTAATATCAGATTTCAAAATTACTTATATTAAAGTAGGATTGTGTTTTTACATGAAAACCCTTATTTCCTGAGCATTAAATTTTCTATTAGATGCAATGGGCATCCATTTAATGGCTAAGAATGGAATACATATGCCCATATTTTGTCACTAAAACTCCAGTGTAAAATCTACCTATGGCCACTTGCCTTTTTATTCTGAACTATTAAAAGGGATCCTCCTAAAAAATTCTTGTTAGAAAAACACATGTTCTCTTAAATTCACTTCACTAATATACTCTGTATTATTAAAAATATTATGGAAGGTTTTAATTCATTGGTAAGATGCAGGAGATCATTGAGAAAGGGAGAAATGAGAGCTTGAACATGCAAAACATGCCTACACGAGCTTACTTAGGATGGACACATAATCAAATGTCAGAGATATATATTTCTTTGTTGTTTCTTCCAGTATCAGTAGCCTTAAGTGTTATTTTCACTGTTGTGGATACCACATTTGATAGGCGTAACAAAAATGTCGTTTTCAAGCTGACCCTTTTAAGGCAGAATAGCCTGAAGGAAATGCACCCATTCTGCTTCAAAGAAGATCTGTCTGTAGGAAGGAGGAATAATATGCATGCATAAGTAATTAATAATGATCTGAAGCTTTGATATTTTGTAAGGCCCAGAAAATTACATTTTTGCAGGCTGTAATATATTGTTGGGTTAAAACCACATGGCTTAATTCCATATGCTGTGACAAAATTTCTGTTGAGATAAATAGGAACCAAGCTTGAATAAGGACAGAAGTATCAAAAGCACTGGTTTGACTGCTGTGTGTGTCCTTTTATTACACCAGTGAATACAGTTGTGGTATCACTGCAATCCTTAATAGGATAATATGGATGAGAAAGATCTTCAATACAGAATATAATGAGGTGCTCAAATAGTCTGACTTTTCACTTAATTTAAAGAATTCATTCCCCTGAAAAGCTCAATTTCTACATACCTAATAGTACAACATGAAATTCAGAGGCCAAATCTCATTGACTAGATTTTGTTTGAATATGTTTTAAAACAGCTTCTTTGACTTCATTAGATGTCTTTAATGTAGCCATTTGTAAAGTCCTTTTCTTGTATAATAGATTAACTTGCAAAGAGGAACTGGCTGATACAGCGATGCCTTCTGACAGTCCTATTTTTAGAATCAGAGGGAGGTACAGTCAAATAAAACATGCTGCAATTAATAAGCTAGATATCTAAGTGTGGATCATTTTGAGGAAACTCCCTCTGTATTTTAACAGTCTTCTGGGCCTTCCTGCCCACCTTATAACCACAGAGAATCCCACAGGATATTTTTACCTGGTGAGAAAGTACCTGTGCGCTGTAACAGGTATATACATATATTTAGTTTTTACTTTTTTTTTTTTTTTTGTTCAGTGACAAAAGATGAGAACCTGATGATCAACTTCCACCATCCATTTATGCCTCTTCTCACACGTTGTTTCAGCAGGACATCAGGACAATGAACTAACAGGTAACCACCCTATTACATGCCATGGCTACAGCAACACCACTCTAGTACTTTTCACAGATGGAGGTTTGAAAACCTGGGGGAGTATGTTGTTATGATGTGTTCTGGGGTGGGTGGGTGTTAAACTACTCAGGACCCAAACTGGTCAGTTAAATAGAAACATTGAAAGATTCAGGAGATTTAATAGTAAAACACAAAATTTGTAGTAAAAGGAAAATTGCCATTCTGAGATCAAGGGAAATGGACTGAGCATGGTGTGACTTTTGGTGAACTATTAGCACAGGGAAACAGGGAAAAGATCATCCTGATGGCAGTCTGACAGCAGGTTAGTTTAATTCTGTGCCTGAGATATGACTGGCAGAGTTTAGATGTTGCCTTTATTGAAATATTACACATTTAGAAATTTGAGTAGCAAGATGATAGTGTTTGCAATTGAAAACATCTCAGCATTTTTGTATGGATAAAGTTTCTTTTACATGCAAATTGGGCACTAGTTGAATTGATATTGCCAGATTATGGTTATTGCCCCAGAAAAGCTTTTCAATGAACATTTCTGCCCATAAAAGTTCTCAGGAAAGTAAGCATTCAAACCTAGACTTCCTTGACTGGAAGCTTGGATTGGCAAGATGAGGTTAGTTAACCTAATTTAGGAATCCATTCCTTTGGTGCACTGACAAATTGTCTGGTGAGAAAGGCTGGAGAAAGGTTGAATCTATAAATGCAACTTCCCTGCAGGTCAGCTACACTCAGTGCCTCTGTTCTTCTCTGTTCTTAGTGTACAATCCCTTTACCTTTTCCACAGATGCTTGGGCAAATTGCCTGTGCTTTCTCAGTGAGCACTGGACAAGAATGTGCAAGGCAGCTAATGGTGAAGGGGATGAACTCTCAGGAGTCCTTCTGATGCATTTCTTGATGGCATTTACCTCTGTCAATGCCGGTGCTTCAATGCTGTGGCACATTCACTAACTATATGAGGCATTCCTGTAATTTCCATTTAGCACATATTTTTAGCCACATTCAGACAGCACACTTTAAGGTTATTAATAAGCAACAGAGAGCTAAACAGGTGTTCCCAAGGAGCCAAACTTGTTACTTCTGTCTTCTTAAATCCATTGTCAGCACACTGACATTTTGTTTACTACTATTGGAACAGTTTGTTATCTAATTCTGTATACTTACACCCTACAAACAAGTTATCTATTCTAATGCTCTGTCTAGACAAAGACTTAGAGGTGTGATGTTAGCATGTGCAACCAGCTTTAACCCATGCTAACCTGTTAGAACCTAGGCTCCCTATGATTCTTTAAGACAGTCTATTCAGCACATTTCAAAGGTAATGTGTCCTGTCTAAAGCTGAAGAAAAATATAGTTTGACAAAAGCTCTAAGAAGACAGCAGTGTGCATCACTAGTCTCTTTGTGTAACTGCTAGGTTCCATCCACCTCCCCCCCTTCAAGTTGGCATAGTATTTTTTTGTAAAACAATGTGTCTTTGTTTTATTTATAAACCTGCCTATCACTTTTGCCTTTGTGGAAGACTCCACAGTTTTATCTAGGCTCTGTTCACAATGAATTTTTAACTGATGTATTTGCAGTCGCATTTAATCATTATTGTGGACTTCTAGTTCTGCACTGAGCCACAGTTAACCCTCAGAGTTCAACTGTACCACTAGTACTTTTTAACTAAGGTAGCACATCTGCTTTAGGTAGTGTTGCAAGAGTTGTTCTCTATAATCCAAGTTGTCTGGAATTATGTGGTCAGAGTCAAGTATCTTATGAAATATATGTTGAATTCAGTTTTTCCCAGGGCAGCCATCACAGTAAAGGAGATTTTTGAATATAGAAATTACTTGTATGTAATTTGTCTGATCTCTCATTTATTAGAACAGTTGATTGATGCGCAGAGTACTCCATTCTGAATCAAATAAAACATGTGCATAACTTTTCTCTCTAGGAATATCTTGAATTTTCATATTTAAAATCTGACAGCTGAAACAAGAGGGATTTTTATCAGTGTGTAACCACTGCACACCCATAGTAATGCAAAAAAAAAAAAAAAAGAGAGGGAGAAAAAAGGATTTAATGTCTGTTTATAACAGCCAGATTCATCTCCCTGTAGTGCCTTGATCTTTCTTATTCTTTTTTTTTTTGTTTATTTTTTTTTAGGTAAGGCAAAAATAGGAGTCATTCTTTGATAAACACCTTATGTGATAACATGTGTTTCTTATTTGTGCTGACTTGTTTACTTGATTGCTGAATATTTTCAGGTATCAACCCTTTAAGACCAATAGAATTCTAAGCTCTTACTGAGTTAGATTAATTTTTGTCTTTATTGTTTGACCATGATGATGGCAGATGCTATACCGCCATCTTTCTCTCTTATTCTCCAGTACACTGAAACCATTTTTTATGACATATTATCTACTTATTTTAATGCTGGCCATTGTAAAAATCTATTTCAGATCCTCAGACATTCTTATGTCCTCTGTCAAGGTCTCTGCTGGTTCGGTTTTCAGTATTCCTACATCATATTATTTTGCACTGCCACGCCCTTTACACATTTTTATTTCAATGATTCTTCTTATACATGCCCTACATAACTCACTAAAATCAGTCTCCATTTAATTCTCTTGCCTTGCTTTCAGTTCATTCCCACTTTTTATAGTGATTTTTTTTTTTTTATAATATAATTTTAACCTCTCTGGTAAGCTGATTTGCATTCCTTCTTGTATTCTTAAAAACCAGGACAGACCTGCTCTGAGTGATACATAGAACCAAATCAGTATGACCCCTCATAACTTTATTTTTCTACCACTGAAATACTGCACTGTATGTCCAGTTAAGAATTTAGAGAATGTAGAATAAGATCTTTACTTTTATTTCACAACTGAAGAGTTCTGTCTGGTCTGTTCAGCAGCCAGAGAACCACATTGTATGAGCAGTGCTGGTTCTGCCAGCAGGTCCTCAAACTTCAGCATCCACAGCAGCTCTGCAGGATCAGTTAAGCAGCCCCAGGCCACCTGCTGACCTGCAAGGTAGTTCTTTTCTCACAACTCAGTCAACTGGAAACACTGTCTTTTTGTAATCCATACTCTGATAAATAGTATTCTTAAATTTGACACCATTTTTAACTTGATGAGAGAAACATACAAGTGTCCTGTCATGGACTGGATGCTCTACTTTATCTTTTAGCAAAGACATACCATTTCATCCATAATGCACACAAGCTGCTTCAAATGATAAGGCAGAACAAGAGGCTTGTTAAAGGATGGTCTGCTTTTGCCCAAGGTGGGCATGGAGTTCTTTCCTCTGTATTCCCTGTCATCTCCCTGCCAACATAACAGCAACAAGGTAGGAAAAGCATTCCAGAACTTCATGTTATAAGATGGAGAGTTTCAAGTGATAATTCTTTGGACATTCACTTGTTTTTGTGGCTGAGGTTTTCTCTTAGGTGGGAAGTGAGAGTGAGCCTATGTACTGGTTTTGTAGGTCTTTGTCCCTTGCCCATAGAAGCCAAGTATTCTTACAGAACAGTGGGGTACAGAATGATCTGTGGGATAGAGATTTATTTTCCCTCATGCTGCAGCCCTGAGTAGTATAACATCAAGGAATAATTTTCTTTTAGGAAGAATACATTCATTAAAAAGAATTCCCCTTTCTGCACAAAATGTGATGGTGTGATCAAGGTTATAGGTGCCAATACCATCTAGTTACTCTTGTTGTCTGTAAAGTTCTAAGAACAGCTTTACATTCTTTCATTATTTTGAGACAGGTGGAAACACTGTTCATTAAAAATTTAGCACTCTTCTCATTTATTCAGAATAGATTAACATAGTGGTGCACTACTATAGGTTGTTGCATATGAAACTGGTGGTGCTGTTTTACCCTTGAGCCAGACATGTGGCTCTTTCTTAAAAGGATGCAGTAAATGCACACAGTTCTCTATCAATCACAGTAAGTGCACTGGATTTTTCAGAAGTGTCTATTAGTTTCAGGTGCGTCACTTCTGTGGTGCTTATCTTCATACAGCTTAAGAGTCTGATTTTCAAAGAGCAGGTGTCCATCATTTTGGAAAAATACAGCTATATTAAAGTGTCAGTCAACTGGAGGTATCCAGATGCACTAAGCCATTTTTTGAAGTCTTGTTCAAACCAATGTCTTCTGCAAGACTTTGTAGTCTAATTCACCAAATACAATGTATAGAATGAAAACAAGATGAGGCTTGAGAAGAGAGAGACATCAAAGGGAACAGAATGAAAACACAGAATTTGTCATATCAGAGCAGACCGTTGATCTGAGGAGAACTGTGTTCTGCTTCCAGCTGTGGCCAGTACCCTGTGATTATAAAAGAAGGGCCAAAAACTGTGATTCATAGCTTGCCATACAAAAATCCCCCCCCAAGGTTTTTGCTCGTGTTGTTCACTGCAATACATTGGTTCAGTAAGAATGAAGTGGAACAAGAAGCCATGCATGCCACTTGATAGTTGATGTGAAGAAAGTGTATCTGTGTCTAACATCCTGGGAAAATGCTACAAGACTAGTTCACCCTTAGGAAGGTACTATTCCTGTAATGCTGCCACATTCAGTGCCAATGGTGGATTGTATCTGCCTTGAACAGAAACTGCCAAATTTGCATGGGGAATTTCTTTGGAATTATTTTTCTTAATTTTTTCTGATTGTTCAGAAAACTTTGTGTTATGTCATTCATTTCTCCTTTGTGCAGGAACTGTTGCGTAAGTTGGAAAACAGCTCATCAGCTAAGGCATTGCTTCCTCAAAATGCAGATGTAAAGTTGGGTACTGAAGGTCATCCTGTGTGTCATATCCTTCTTATTTCTGCATCACTTCTAACTTGCTTCTTCCTAATTATCACATTATAAGAAAGTATGTGCAGTGTCATGGATTGAGGTAGGATAGAGGGGATCTTTGGAAATTATCTGGTCACCCCTCTCCTGCTCAAAGCACTGCTAACATTTGGTAAAAGTGTTTAGGATCTTGTCCAGGAAAACTTTGAATATTACCGAGAAGTCTCATGACCTCTTTGTGAGCTTGTTCCTTTTTCTGCCTATTCTTATGTTTTGGTTTTTTTTTTTGGTTTTTTTTTCCCTTTTGCATGTCATTGCAGTTTCCAGTGATGTAAGTTTTGAGGACTGCCTCTTGGCCTTTTGCTGTGCACTGCTGAGAAGAAGCTATCTCTGTCTTCTCTCTGTCTCTTTTACCCTGTTTAGGAAGTTGAAAATAGAAACTAGACTCTCCTTATGCCTTTTATCTGGGTTGAACAAATCCAGTTTCCTCAGCTTCTTGTCCTATGCTTCACCAGAGTGATGAAACTTTTCTGTTTTTAAGTATCCATTTTGTTAGGGAACCCCAAACAACACACAGTGCTCCAGATGGGGTCCCTCAAGCGCTAAATTGTCAGGAATAATTGCTTATTTATAAAATGGGTCATGATTGTTTTCCCTCTCATTCTTCTACATTAATACAAAGGTAAAGACAAAGAAGAAAAACAAGATTTTGGGACTACTAGAAGGGAGAAAAGAGATGCTGTGCTTAATTTTTCCTTCTGGTTCTTTCAGTTTTGCTTTTTTTCCCTGCATAGTGACACAACTTCAAAAGAAAGGGCAGATGGTGCTGCTACTGATCCCAGCTATCAAAGAAACACCCTCCTGGGAGGGAGGCAAGAGATAGGGGTTTCAGATAGTTCTATCTTGGTCCTGTCACTTGTTTGGGAGGAGTGTGCTATCCATTCAGAGATTATTTAGTATCAACTTGAATATTCCCACAGAGATCTTTTTGCATGCAAAAATGTTGTTTTGAATTTTGAGGCTTTTCTGCGTTTGCAGACATTCTTCTTGCCCCTATAGCAAGTAAAATGTGTGTGAAACACCTCAGGCTGGATTTTTGTACCTTTAGATATACTGCATCTATTACTTTGTTTGAGAAAGGCAATGCTTTGGTGATTTAGACATAGGAATTGCTTTTCTAATTTCCAAGTTTCATTGCAGTTTAGACCAGGGGAAAGCTCTGTGCTTGACTCAAGCAAGGTACTTCCAGGGAATTTTCAGCCCTTCCATCTCTCAATTTCCTGTTTTTGACATGGACATATTCACTTCTTGCGAGGGTGTTGTGGAGATGAAGTTACATATTCAGGTCTACAGAGTTCTCAGACACTATACTGTGTGCAGGACATGAAGCTATTTCACCAGGTACTATGATAGAGGGATTTAATACTCCTCCTATCTCAATCCAGTCAATCCTCTGCTTTCCTTCTGCTTGTTTGCCTTTTCCCTCCTGTTTTATTGTGATATACTTCTGTTCCTTGAGAAGCATATGTTGACGAATACTGATGGGTGACTGAGTATTGTGGAAGAGGTACATACTCGTCAGATTTCTTTTTTTCCCATGGCAGTTCTACAAAAAATAACTGCAAACCCATTAATGAAAAAAACCCAGGCATTTGGTATCACTGTGCAGAGTATAAATCACCAAAGAGGCAGCCTTGTGTTTGACTTTCTAATATGCAACAGAAGTGCCTTCACATCATCAGATGTTGATGCTATGGCTGCCATTCCTAAGTTGTTCCCCCCACACCCCGAGCTGCTGCTAATAAATTACAAACACATTTGCTCTCATTAATCATTCTTTGGAATGGCAGAATAGTCTTTGCTGATTGAAAATAATTATTAGCTTCTCAAAAGGATTAAACAGCCTGTTTGGATTTTAATTTATATCACCATTTTGATGGAGTGATGTGGGGGTATGTACACAGCCTTTGTCTTAAAAGTAGTAATAATAATAATTAATGCCGTGTAACAAAGAGTTTCAGAAGGACTTCAGACAAAGAGAGAAAGAAAAGGCAGGCAAGGTGAGCTGTGGAATAAATGTAGGACACAGAACTGAATATAAGCTTGCGTTGGGCAAGAAGCCTCCTACTGTAGCAGAGCAGTGATAAACACAAAGGAAACGACAGCATTCTCTACATAGCAGTGGAGAGACTTGAAATTTCTGGCTAACATTACAATCTGAGCAGTGTAATTAATCTGGAATTGAAAGAATACCACAGATGTTTAAAATTATTTTTTTCTACTGAGTCAGTATCCTGCACATTTACAAATTGTAGGTTGTGGATTAATAGCCTCTGAGGTTCATTACCCGATGGGCCTTGCTCCAAGCTTTGAATTTACACTCAGCAAAGTGTATTTGGATTGAGACAATTTCCTGAAGTCAGGTCCCAAGGCTTTAAAATAAAGTGTGTTTGCTCTTAAAGTGTTTTGTGGGCACTGGGATGGGAGTGCTTGCTGGAGTGTCAGGGGTATTAAAATTAAAAAAAAAAAGAAAAAGTACGTCAGGTAAGATTTAGCACATGTAAACTTCAGAATGGGATGAAATGTGGAGATTGCCAAATTGTATAACCTTATTAATGTCTTATGCTCACATTGTAACACTGCTAATATGATATTTGCCTCCTGAAGGGCAGGACTTATTAACTAGATCAATGTTCTACATTAATTTGATTGCACTGTCTTGGGACTGAGCTGACACATCGGTGCAGTGCAATACACCTCTCTGTGGGGTTACCAGCTACTGAGGGTTCTTCACATGATACAGGCAGGCTTTCCAAGAATCTGAGTGGTACAGAAACACTATGGGTCATTTTTTGGATAGGGTGAATGCCATCAAAATCCCCGTGCTTGATATTTCCTGTTCGTTCTCTGTAGGCTTCTCTCTGCCTTGACCCTCATTTTAGTTCTTTAAGTCATTCCTTAGAGTCTGTCATGGAACTTGGATGTGGACCTGTTAAAATAAATCCCTCTGTGACTGTCACATTTCATTCATCTTCAGTGGCATGCTTGAAGTGAGAGCCCAAACACCGGGAGACCAATAATGGATTTTCTTCACCTGGGGGGATGGGACATGTGGCATTCCAGTTTCTACTCAGAAATATTTACATAGATTTCACAAAATGAGAAAATCCCATCAAGAAGGGTGGAGATGTGATCTGACATGTGGCATTCCAGTTTCTACTCAGAAATATTTACATAGATTTCACAAAATGAGAAAATCCCATCAAGAAGGGTGGAGATGTGATCTCCTTGTCTGGAAGTAGAGACGGTCATGAATTAAACCTGTGAAGAAGCAGAAAGGACTGCCACTGCTATCAAGGAGAGGAGAATCCAGAATGGTTCTTCCATGTGCTGCTGTTTACTGATGTGGACTCCTGAGAGAGAGATGTAAGTACGGATATGACTTTCACTGAAAAGAAATTGTACACAGATACAGTGAAGTAGTGTATCTTCTGTTCCTCATCACAATTTGTACCAAGAATCACAATACAAAAGCTTATCTGAATTTATGGTTGGATAAATGATTTTGTGACATGGGTCAAGGAACCCTTGACCTAATTATTTAACTAGCCTCTGGAGCATCATTTCTCTGACTGTACAATAGGAATCTGAATTTCTCTTGGACTTTGATATGCTTAATTAATGTGCAAGGTCTTCTGGCAGGTGTAATATCTTAAAATGTATGTAAGCATTTTGAGGACCTGTGCACTGAGATCCCCATTTCCACTGAGTGCTGCAGTTGAAACAGGCAACAAGATGGGCTGTGTGACAGGGTGCACAGCACAGGGTGCTCTCAACCATAAAGTTAAAGACAGTGTGTACTCCAGACAGCTTGCAACCTAAATACTGGGGATTTATTTTAGCAGCTGTTTACATAATTCTTATATCAGTGTGAAAATTGTCTATGAAAATATTTAAAAGTAAATGCAATTTATTCTTCCAAAGTTCAGTATCCAGTTCCTAAACGTGGAGCTCCAGATGGAGGTTTATTTACTAGAAGTGTGTCTGTAACATTATGTGTGGCAGTATATTCTATTCCTTCCCTTTTTACAGGGTAATATTCCTATGTGAAAGTTCCATTTTGAACCTACTCCATACCAAATATTTTCTTTTTCAGTCACCTAGGAAGACATTTCTGAAAACTGTATATACTGAAATAGGTTAACAACTTTCTTGCTTTTCTCACAGATCACCTTAATAAATGTTTCATTGATTCTTTACTATGTTAATTGGTACTTTTGTGTCCTTAATTCAGACCTTTCCACGTGCAGGAAGATTAAATGCACAGAGATCAAGAAGGATAGAATAGGTGAGACCCGTCTGTATTTTGCATGCAGAGATTATTTGATTTTATGAGGGGAAGGAACTCATCTAACCTTATAACTAACAGTTGCTGGTTGATTTGCATAATGAGCTGATGGCAAAGCTTTCCTTGTCAACAATTAAAAGCAACATTGGATTCAAATTTGCAAAGTTGCAGAGAACGATAAATGAAAATATACTGGACCTGGGAATTAAGGCAACAAAATACCTGTCTTCCACATGTTAGCCTAATTTCTACTTTCTCTGGACTGAGATCTCCTTTCCAAGTGACTTCATGCAATCAGATGGGAAAGCGTTTTCCTCACCTCCCATGTGTGCAGGGAAGATCCTCTCTCCAGTGAAAACCATGATCCCTTGATGGCACAGCCATCTGATGAGTAGGTGGGAGGACGCTTGACTGTGTCTCTTCTGACACAATCAGCATCATGTAGAATGGGAAGGAAGGTGTAGGAGATACAGAACTTTCTGAACTTTAAACCACAAAACTTTTTTTGTAAGTTGAATTTGGGCGCATGTCGGCTCCTCTCGGTATGCTCCTGTATGTTAGCACCCAGTTACATATTTCTCACACACAAGTCTTAAAATTAGATAGTGCATGTTATATTCTTTTTAATGACTGAGATCTTTGGTTATGAACAATTCTACTATTACAAAGCAGAAACACACAAAAAAATCAGGGAATGAAAAACATTAACCAAGAAGATTAAGTTTTTATACAATCATTGGCATGATCTATTAAAATATGGGATTTTATAGAACAAAATACATTTACATCTCTTAGAGACATTGAAAAAGTGGGAATAGTCAAGATGGCATTGAACATTCATTCTTCTTTAATGCACTTTATTAACTTGGGTTATCATATTTTATTATCAGCTGTTTTTATTTTTATGTTTTTTATTTTTATGCAGCTTGGGCCTGATCCAGTTTCTTCTCACCAGTGAGAAGTATTCTTTGTATAGGGAAAATAGGATTTTATTCTTTTGTTTGTTGATTTTGACTGCTCATTAGAGTTCACTTCTGTTTGAGCTGTTAACAATATGTCACTATATCTTGAGAGTCTCTTTGGATTATTGCTTGATAATTGGGAGACTGTATAATACAACAAATTATTTTTAAAAGGGTATAGGGCATAACAGAAGGCTGCTCTATAATTTGTTGTAATCATTAGATTGACTCATTTGTCTATTCTAAACAAATTTTACTATGTTATTGCAATTACTGTATGTCAAAAAATAGTAAAACAAAAGAATCCCATTGGCTTCTATTTCAAGAGAGTTATTAACAGGAGAACCTGAACTTAACTGCAGCATTAAGATACAATATCTGGTTCTGGCTTTTTAAATCCAACAAAAGTCAAATAAATTGCGTGGATGAAACTGAAGTGTATTTCAATTGTTTTGTTTTGCTCGGTGCTAGGGTAGAATGTGAAACTAAATATGTTCATCCAAAGATAACTGAGGAGTTCCTGCTCCTGTTTAGATTTCATCGTCTGTTAGAAATCTCCTAGGTGATTAAACTAATGCACTGTAAAAGAATGAATCAGTCCTGCAGAGCTCCTCTCTGTACTGAGAATAACTTGCTCGGTTAAGTACTGTTGGGGTTTTACTAAATTAAAATCCCAGGAATTTTTGTACATAATATATTTTATCTGTGAAAGCTGAATAAAATTTTATATCTGACTCTCAAACTAAATTCCTATGGTAATTAATAAAGAAGATTTGAATACATTTCTGTTAGAGTAATCTTTGACCAATTTAATAACTTGATTTTCTTAACAGAGGAAAATCCTTATCTCTCAAGGCTTGTGGTAACATTGGGACACACCATGAAATTGTTAAGAGAATCAGAGAGTCTTTGTTGTGAGAAGATGAATTCAGATTGGAAAGTTATCATTTACTGGCTCAGGTGGAATACATTCTTAGTAATTATTTAATATTTATATTTCAGTTCTTCTGTAGATACCAATAGATTCCTGAAACTCTTATCAGAAGTGTCATGTAGGCTGCTTGCAAAGCTGACTCATTTTAACTATTCACCTGTTTACAGATAAATACAAATATTGTTTTTTTACATGTCAGCACAGATAGGTAAAAAAATAGTCAGATGTATGTTCTTAAAGCATACACACACACACACACACATATTTGCCTTTTTTTAGTAGATTTATTAAATGTTACTTATCCCCACCCCCTCTTGGCCTATTTTTTGTGACTGGTATGGCAAGGAGGAATGACAAGAGCTAAAAAAGAGATAAGGAAATGATCTTATCAGCCAGCTCAGAGATGGCATTTCCTGAGTGGCATTTTGCAATTGTTGCATGGAATAAAAGTGTAGATATATAATAAATTTATGCTTTTCAGTGGGTTTGTCTTTTAACACCTGATCTCCAGCTGCAACTTACTCTTGTCCACTTCAATCAGTGTAGTTGTGGATAAAGATTACAAGAAATTAATTTAAATGAAACAAATGCATCCTTTTTTTTATATGACATAGAATTTATGTATGTATTCACTACTTAATTCAATACACAAATCACAGTTTGATTTTTGAGTGTAGTGAACAGAAATAATTCTCACTTTTTTTTTTTTAATATATGTCCTTTTCCAGTTTTTAAAGTTTTCTTTTAAAATTTCATGTAAACATCTTACTGTGCTGTACCCAGCAAGTACCTGCAAGTGTGCACTTCTCTGTAAATTGCTAAATAAATGAAAAATCTGACTAAAATTGACTGAACTGTGAAAAAAACCCCACAATCAAATATATGCACCAATTTGAATTCCATACTAAATTTTAATTCAATCATATTTGCTGCCCTTTTATGCTTTATGTTTGTGAACACTTAAGAACTTGATTCTTGATGCTGAGATAATTTCAGGAACATTTAAGACTGAAGATTTTATGAAATAAATGTGTATTAGGGTAGTAACAGGGTGAGATTCCTTTGGTCCTTTTGTAATAAAGCTTGTGATGGCATTGTGGAATGATGCTTGTCTTTATAAAGGGCTGGCTGATGTAAGACTTGATCTGGAAGAGGGCCTTTCATGGTAAAATTCAGTAGTCTTACACCAGCTAGGGAAGACTCCCATACTTAGGAAGTAAAGCAGACAGATTTTTATAGGAATGTTACAAAGTCTATTTGATTTACTTGAAATGACCAGTATGTTCAGAAAAAGGTTTCTTGTGCAACAGCACTTGGCAGAAGGCAAAAGAGCATTGCACAGTCTGGAGAAAGGAGTTGATAGCAGCTCAGCATACAGTGCTTTCCTTAATTATTTTGGAACGGTACGTTTAGTTGGCTTTTGACCTGGTGTCCTCCTAAATCAACATTAAAGGTCAGACAGATAAATAAGAGAAATTTGATGCACTGGTAATTAAGAAGGTATTCTGATTCAGGGCAGTAACTTTGAGGAAATGAATGCAACCAGACAGATGCAAAAGAAGGGGAGAGCCTTTCCAAAGCTACTCCAACAACCTTTGAGCTCTGCTTCTGCAGGGTACAGTACTGTGCCTGCTGTGGAGGGAAGGCTGGTTTAGTTCTCTCTCCTATTTTGTTTTCAGTGTAGGGCCACTCTGTTCAAAAGATGTTAGGGACATGGCAGATCTTGCTGCAAGTGAGGAGGAATGCCCACACTATTTTTATGTGTGAGTTCTATTTCCATGTATGTGTTCCATTTCCATGACAAACATTGACCCAAACTGGATAGCACTGGTAGCTGATAGATTAAGGCAGGGCAGATCCTGAAGGAAAGAGCTCCTTTCAAGAGATGGGGTTTTTGACAACTGTCAAGTCAAGGAATTTCATCTTTATTGTAATGGA